TGGATGATTTTTTATACTATTCCGTCCCATTAAACTATTCAGGGTGTGGGAATAATTCTGCGAACCCGACATCGTAAATTCAATTCCTTGACGTCGGGATTTTCCATCGATGTTGTTCGAAGGGTCGATTTTCTGTGCACCTTTTTAGAACAGTCACTAATGATGGTCGCGACTGTGCTTCTCAAGTTGATTGGTTGGGCCATGTTGGGCCAAAATCGCGTGTTCTTCACGGCATCCCTTGATCTTTGCAGGTTCTGTTTTCGCTCCGAAAAGGCCAAAGAACCCAGTCATCCGCTCACGTTGATGTGTTTTTCGCAGAAAAACGATCATCGCACTCTGTTAGAACACCAATTTAACTCATTTTTTTGTCCAGTTGCAATCATATTCTGTAGGTCTGAGTAGCGTTTGCAGTATCATGTGGCCTGAACCGTGCTTTGTGCATGACAATGGACAATGTTGCAAAGGAAAAACACGCTGAGAGGAGCCTCATCTGTGCAGTACTAGTGCCTCCATCCGAGTTTCAATGACCAGTCACGCAATCAGATGTGTTTGACAATCAACTTATCAGTTTCTTCAAAGACGCCCCAGGTTTTTCGGCAGGTGTGTTTGAACGATTGATCCCTTAGTGGAGTTGAAACGGACTTGTGGGGATCCAACCAGTTCTTGAGGATGAGCGGTAGGAACGGCCAAAAAAGTTCCGGAGACGGTTGGGTTGAACACTGGTTTCTGGTCGACGGGTCTACTCTGAACTAGTCTGGTATGTTTTCGATCTGGAGGAGACGGTTTCACCCTTTCCCGGTGTTGTTTCGCGTCCTTGTCGAAAGAACGCGGCGCCGTGGAAGCCGAACGCGCCGCGTGTGTGGCGGGTGAGAGAACCCAGCGTCCGTCTTCTCGGGGCAGTCTTCTAGGTGCCTTCTGCTTGTGTTTGCAAACAGTGAGAACATGTGTGTTCAGGTCTGAGAAGGTGTTTGGGGTGGGTTTGGGGTTGGTTTGGAGGGTCCAAACACCTTCCGAGGAGGTACTTGGAGCCCGGCATAGGAAGGACCCGAAGACCTCCACGGGACGGTCCAGACACGACGGCGCTCTTGACACGAGACCCGTCGTCTTCACGACGGGTCTAACACGGTGGGGATGGGACTGCCAGGATGGACTGCCGCCCCAGACAGACCCCCAGTCAACCATGCACCCAACTGATTGGCAGTCCTATGGCAATCCCATGGGTCGTGTCTGGGATATGAGGATGTGCCGTGTTCTTTTGTTATGATAAAACACCTCTCAGTCCCAAGATGCCTTTGTTTTCCTTGACCCCACAGCGAGAGGATGAGTGAGACATGTGAGGATGTGGAGGATGCCAATGGCCCGAACTGGGACCTGGTGGAAGAGGGGAGGGTCTCCCCGGTCGATGGTCAAGCGGTCCATTTGGTCGTGTGGTAGGGTATATGATACTATATGAGGGTATCTACTATAGTTGGTTGGTTGAGTAGGCTTCCCCCGTAGAAGAGGCATTTCTGATGGTATACCTGGCATCGACCCCTTGGAGGCATCGAAAACGAGTTCCTCGAACGCGTGCACGACCACAGCACGTGCGTGGTGCAGCCAAGGCTGATTGGCGTGGTCGTGGCGGGCGAGCGCTTGCCACTCTGTGAGGAAGGCGATTGCGTGTCTTGGAGTGTGCTATTCGAGGATTCGAAGTGGCATGAGGCGATTGCGCATGAGAACGTCGAAGAGGGCATGCTGCTGGGAACGTGTTTTTGAACGTCGAAGAGATCATGACGCACGAGAACTGGGAGTCTTCGTCCATCCTTGGACTGGGAGTCTTCCCGAACTGGGAGTCCGATCGAACAGGGAGTTTTCGTGGACCCCTCCGGAGGACTGATGCAAGACTCGAACGGAGGAATCTTTTTCCGAAGACTCTATGTAGGGAAGACATCTTGTAGACTGATGAGTAAAACTCCCCCCGAGCTTGAAGTCTAAAACCTCTTCATACGTTGGGTTTTCTTATATTGCAAGAGTCGACATGATGCCATGGCCAAGTGGGCAAATGGCCGACATGGCGGAGGGAAGAACGTGTGTCTGTGTCCATTTGGACCACTCAAAACATTTTGAGCAAATTCAGTCCTTAGGCCTTAGGCAAGGTTAATTATTTACAAGCAAGGCCAGCACGGAGCCTTCCGGGGTTCTGAACGGTTCGTCCATCGGTTTGTGGCTGACTGGCTCTGAATGGTGGTGAGACAGTGATTTGAAGGGTCCTGGAGCCTGGAATCCTATTACCAGACGAAAGTTCGAACTCCATGAGTCAGTCGAAGCTTTGAACTGGTGACTGAGACTCTTCCACTCATTCACTTACATCAAGTGGGCACCAGAACAAACTTCTCACCACCACCTCTTCCACCACCCACTCTCCCCTCCTTCTTCTCAGGTGGCCATCGCCGACACGGGCACCAGCCTCCTGGGCGCGCCGCGCGCCGTGACGCAGCGCATGCATTGGCTCCTGGCGCGGAAGGTCCCCGAGAACCCGCCCGAGATCGACTGCCGCACCTTCCCCGGACCCGCCGCTCAGCCGGGGCACCGGTGCGAGGGGGTTGGGGGGAAGGATCGAAGGTTCGGTGGAAGCGGGATGGATCGTTTACGGATTTGAAATATATAACCCAGATGGGTGCAAAAGGGGTTCACTGCTTTCACGACTTGATGATTATTCTTATACTAAGAATGATGTCTTTTGAGGATTTGGCACAGCAGGTGGCTTTCTTTGTTTGAAGTTCCGACCCCCTCCCTTTCGTCCCTTCGAAGCTCCTCACCACGATCCCGTCGCTCCGCTTTCGGCGTCGGTCCGGTGGACGCCGTCGGGTTGACCCAAGGGGTTTGAAGGGCTTCTGGTGACAGACCTGCAGGGGGAGGGAGGGTTTGGGCATCAGACCTACAGGCCGTTCTTGAAAGCTCATGTAGGTGTTGGTGGTTGTTGGCGGCTAGCAGTTAGCTTGACGGATGTAGGTGGTTGGCAGGTGGTTGGTTGGTTGTTGTCGTCGTCGTCGTTGTTCCGATATTATTTGCGCAATGATTGATCCCACTGACTCCTACATTCTTCGAGTCGAAACGGCCCCCACCAGCCTTCTTCCCACTCTCTTTGTTTTTGTTGCCTAAGGAGTTGGTTTTTGAGCTGGAGGGCGGTGTGAATGTGACCATCGGCGCTGAGGAGCATCCACGTCGTCGTCCTCCTCGCGTGAGTCCATGCGTGAGTCATGCGGAGGGATCGACATCTGCATTTTCTCGACTACTGGGGGACTATAGGCTGTTGTATGCTGTTCTTGTCTTTGGCCCGGCATGCAACACTGTGCAGAACGTATGACTCAATACAACACGACTGCGTGTAAGAACACGAAAAACCAACAACGTGCAGGATGTCTACCGATCCAATGCAGTCGTTCTTCTTCGGTCTTCTGCGCTGCACTGCCTGTCCTTCCGTCCAGTCCTCCCTTCCTTCCGCCGACCAAGTCTCTCTGAACGACACCCGACGGATGCAGCGACCAAGCCGTCCGCATCCGTGGCACGCTGAACGTCTGCCGAACTTCCGAACACCGAACGAAAGAGACGGACAAAACGAGAGCTGTCCCAGACCCTATAGGCCCAGACCCCTTCACTGTCTATCACTGTTGATACGGCACCATTGGACAGTTGCCGATTGGGCACGGTCCGCTGAAGCAAGGTTTATTGGGAAGAAAGACTCTTTCTAGTCGTTGGAGATGTGTGTGTGTGTGTTTTTTCTTTTTTTTGCCTTTTGCAGCTATTATAAATTCCATTGAAACCACCTCATAGGATGGACACGGATGAAAGGCCTTCTTGATTTTCACCCCCTTCCGACGTCCCTTGGCGGCGAACCGGCCGAACCGGCCGCTGGACCCGCTGGACCCGCTTCAGCTTCGGCTTCGGCTCGTCCAGGACTACTCGCGCGCCACGGGCATGCGAGTGCTGAACAACAAGACCAACTCTTCTCAGGCCGCGACGAACGACGCGACGCCGCGACGACGCGACGCGGACGACCGACGGCCGACGGCCCCCGCGAGATCTCGGTGCGACGACGCGACCACCAACGAGAGACCGAGCGGAACGGGGGGGGGAGAGAGAGTTGTGAGTTCTGAGATGGAGGGGAGACTTTAGGGGGGAGCTTGAATGGCTTGAGGAGAAAAGAAAGAATTGGATGGAGATAATTAGGCAAATGTTTGCAGGAGTTGTACAGGAGTCCTTGAAAATGAACGAGGACTTGGGGAGATTTCCTGCGATTTTTGGGTACCACATTGCCCCACCTCCTGACCCCAGGTAACTACATGTAACTCTCCCCCGAAACGCCAGAATGTGAACAAGAACGGCACGTCTATACAGCACGTCTGTACAGCACGTAGCGCCTGCCGCGCCCGCCCCCCCCCCACAGAGCACCACACATGTCTCCGCCCCTCCGGTGTTCTCGGCTCAGCTCATCTGCCGTGCCTCCTTGCTGCCGGTGGACGACGGCGAGGTGTTGGGCCCCAAGGCGGAGATGGTCCCAAACGGCTTGTGAGCATGTTTTTTTGGCCGGGAAAAGAGAACCTTTAAATAATGATGGAGATCTTCGGCAAGGGGAAGGTGGAGCATGGTGGAGCATCCTTCATACACTTGATGCGTTTTTGACCGTGACCTAGAATGATATTACTCTATAATTGGTATTATAGTATCATTTATGAGGTAGAAACGTCTCATGAGGTACAAAATCATATTATCATGTACAAATTGTGGTAGTACAACATGAGGTTCATATCTAGAAACGTCTCATGGTGGTACAGGCCTTCCCTGCGCACTGAACAGGCCTTCATCTTGGGTGAGCCTGCGCTCCGCAAGTACTACACCGCCTACGACTGGCCACTGGGAGCCCAAGATTCGGAGCACCAGCCGTGTGATGTGAGGTTTCATTGTACCGGTACTGCCCGTAGTAGAGGTGCGTCATGTCAAGTCCGGCTGGGGGGCATAGATCCCAACCTGCATCAAATGCACCCCAAAAGCCCTCCATCAAAAATTGGATTCACATGGTTTTTGGAGGTCTGGACCAGTGCAGACTGCAGACCTCAACCGTCCACCTACACTCCACAGTCCCCCTACAAGCAACCATGTGGAGTTCACCCCCTGTTTGGTACATAGTCATTCACAATCTTGTTCCAGAGAGTGTTGACCAGAAGGGCCATGGTTTGGCATCGAAATCTCGCTTTTGCTTGCTTCACCGTGGAAACGATTCGGGGCTCTTCCCCGTGAGCAGGGAGTTTCAGCACACGATCCCGGGCATCAACCATGGATTCCGGAATGGGTTGCGGAACCCGAAGTTCTGAACGGTGTTTGACGTCTTTTTGGATGCCGAAAGAGTGGCCTAGTGGCTTTTCGATCACTTAAGATTGGCATGCATGCATTATATTTTTAGTACTTTACTCTAGGAACTTCAGTGGACCAACTCGATCTACTCCCAGCTGAATTCTCCCTTCTTTCAGCCTCAATCAGCTGATCAGACTGTTGCCGCCTCGCCTCCTGCGGCGACGTGCGTCGCTGAGGAAGCGCCAGCGCATTGGCTTTGGGCTTTCAGTGACTCGGAGATCATGGGTGGATGGAGCTGCAGCTTAGTGACCGGCAGCCAGCTGGAGGTTGCGCCATGCGGGCGCATGCGTGGACATTGCCACGCACAACGGTCACGGATCTCAAGCAGACCAAACCCAGACTGACTGACTCTGAAACCATGTAAAAGTATCTACTGCCTGCCACGACGGTCGTGTAGATACTGTTCGATCCAAATACGACCCCGTCCTCGTGGTCCCGCGGCACCGACGGGGTCGGAGACCGTCGACGGTCGACCAAAAGCGTCATAAATGGTCCAAGGTCACTGCTCTGTTTTGGTTAAAGCCTCGAATTAAAGAGGACATAAGAGGACCATCCCTCCCTCTCACCCATGAGATCATCACCCACTCACCTGGTCACCCCACTCACCACACAAACACACAAACACACACCGCCTGCCCGCCCACCCACCTACCTCGCCGTGCCCAGCTCGCCTCACGAGGTGCAGCCCAACCCCGAGGACTACGAGGACGCGGCCCACGAGATCTATGGAGCCACTCGGGAGCCGAACCGTGGCCGCTTCGTCCGCTTCGCTTTGGGTCGTCCGACACGGTCGCCGAAACCGGTCGTCGCAGGGCTTCGTCCGCGTCGTCCGTCCCGCGACCGGTTCGAAAGACACGTGACGTGGTCTCTCACCGTCCGGGACGAAGCGAAGACGTCTGAAACAGCTGCAGCACCAGCACGGGCTTTTTCGCTTAGTAGATCATCAGTTGGGCCCTGGATGAGAGAAGTTTTCGCGGTGCAGGACCTCTGAACGAAGCTGGACGGCTTCTCCCAGGTCCTTTGTGGTCTAGGCCTAGTAGGGTCGCAAGAGGTCATCTGAGCTCCAAAAGCTCAACATGTCAAACCTGGTGGAGGAAACCTCTTCATCTCTCAACCACGCCAAAGAAAACAAACACCTGGGAGGTCTTTGCGAGTGCTTGCGACCACGGCCATCTCTTGTTCCCCCCCCCTGCCGACCCACCGGCCGCGCCGGCAACCCCCCGCGCTGAGGCACCGCCGTCGGGCCCTCCGACGCCCACTGAGGTGGTTGTGTAAAGGCGTCATTTTGCTTCGTCTCGGATCTTCCGAAAGCACCGAACAAGACCAAAAAGGGGAGGCCGCCAGTCTTATAAAAACATAAGTTGGGAGGTGCATGGGCCTCTTTATGTTGGCTCTCTGTTAGGATCTTGGGACTATATATAAATTATTGAGAACTATATATAAAACCAATGAAGCCTGAAGAGGCCCATGCACCAGG